AAAGGAGGAAAAGAAGAAAAATGAAAAAAGTAGACCCAAGAAAGAGAGGAGAAAAAATAATCCAAAGACAGAGAAAAAAAATCCAAAAGCAAAAATAGCTACATAATACAAGAGAAAAGAAGACACCTTCCAACCAGACAGGACAGGGATAGCCAGTCAGACAAATGAAGGTGGATAAAAGAAGCAAAATACCTCTGGTGTTTACAGTTCTGTGATAGTGTCCGTGTCAGATCCCAGAAATGTGCTGTGTACTCCAGCAAGTTTGCCATGGGAATTGTGCTGGATATGGAGTTGACCTTGGCCTCTGGATGTGGGGGTTCGGACTGGTCTTCTGTGGGTGGAGCTCCACAGAGACCAACTGCTGGCTTCTCACTGCTGCTTCAGACAGTTTCACATTGTGGTCTCACTGATTACTCCATACTCCTGGGACTGGCTGTCCTGGGTCTCATGGGTTCAGGTCAGTCACAGTAACACAGAGCATTTCAATTAGTGACAGGATAGGGAAATGTGACCAACATAGTCTTCTGTAATATTATCATAAGATCACAGGATGCAAATAATGTCATTTAATGGTCTCTACCTTAGTGTTTGTCTTTTTTTGGAACTGGGAATCGAATTCAGGACCTTGCCCTTGCCAGGCTGGCACTTTGCCACAGAGCTGTGTCTCTTGCCTTTCTACCTAGTGTTTGTGTATACATACGATAGCTACTTTGCAGACTTGTTTGTGATAGTATGTATTCATTCACCCTTTATTATTTCTCTCACACTAGATTAAGGTCTTTCATAGCTGTTTTTCATACAGCATTTAACACTGATAACACATCTGAACTCCCTACTCCATATTTCTGCCATTAATACTTTTCTTGTTGTACTGTACTGAAGCTAAAGCTCAGTTCAAATCATCAAATGGCCATTTCCAGAAAAAATGCTTAGTGAAGCTTAATTTTGACCAAGAATTACTAATTAAGGTGCTTATGCAAGCCAAGGAATCATAATAAAATAAATGAATTTAACTCTGGAACTCAGTTTAAGGGCAGGAAGGAATGGTGGAGACTGTGGTGAGTTGGGAAGTCCACTCTTTAATAAAGTAAAGTGAGAGTTACCTGGACTTTGTCAATTTTTACAATGACGTGTTGACAGATTTACCAGTACTTACAAGAGAAAATTCAAAATTTTATGTAAATTCTCATGTTTGTAAGGTAACACTTAGATTAGCTCATGAGTCACCAGTGTTGACCTTTTCTGTTGATGACAAATGACACTTGAAACCAAGTGTTAAGACAGCTTTTTATTTTCCAACAAGCTTCTAAATTAACTCTCTTAGCAGAGAATTTAGCTATTTGTGAGAATGTAGGGAGCATCTTCCCTTCATAACTGACTTATCATTCACAGCTTTGATTTAGTGAAGGAGGATTAAATTGTCAATCTTTTCCATGTGTGATTCTTCCATGAAAGTTTTCTAATTTACAAAAAAGAGGATATTCAAAAGAAAGAATTAATTGTTCATTAAACAAATATTTGTATTGAGATGAACTGTGAAATATGCCATCTTCATGCTTAGATTTTTGTAAATTTGTTCTTGGGACTGTAATGCAAAGAAAAATCTGGCTTTGAAATAATTCAACTTATTTACTGACCATTTTAAGTTGAAATATTCAGGTAAAGAAACCAATTAACAATATCCTAAAGGTTATAGGCCCTATATTTGTTTTTTACAAAAGAATAGCTGTATTTAGATATGACAATCAAACTTCACCTCATGCTCTGAAATTTTATTTTCTCCTGTCATTAAACATATAACTATACTTTTTAAAAATTTTCTTAACTACTGTACTATATTACAGTATATCTAATGTTTTGGAAGAAACCACACTCAATCTTAAATGTTAATGGTGGGAAAATTAATCCTTCTGGGCATTAATTATGGAAAAAGTTTTCCCAGGTATGTGGGGATTTTTGTTAGAATATTGGATTAATGGTTAAATAATAATTACAGAAGACAGTAAGAATAATATTCCAATTAAAGGTACCTGTAGAAAATTTTAATGTGAAATTTTAGAATAAAGAAGCTTCCTGTGGTTGACTCTAATACAATAGGAGCTCATAACAAAATAAGAGAAAGCGGATATACAAAAGTAAGTTAGAAATCAGTAGTACCTTTGCTTAAGCCTGCATGACTGTATTTCCAGGGTGAACCATACGCTGGAAAGCAGACAGAATGTGTGCAAATATAGTGTTGAGGCTGCCACCCGACACCATATAATGATATACACTCTTCAATTCAGTTTTGTTTTCTGAGCCGTGTGGACAGGGTTAATTGAATGTCTTAGGAGAGGTAACATCCATGTAACTGCCCTGCTCCAACAGGTAGCATTTTTTAGGATCTTAAGCAGAACCCAACATATATTCTAAAAATATACTCGAAGCAGATTAAGTATAGCTCAATCTGGAACACTAAATCGCTGACCACCTAATCTAATCTCTCTGCTTCACTTTCAGTAATCAGGAAACTCTGCTCCTCTGAAAATATATGCTCATTTTCAGTTATTTCTGTTTTTAGTCACGGTATTCATGTTCAGTTTATCCCTCTCATATTTAAGTAGAATTGTCTTTTATATTATAAAAACCAACAAGTAAACAAGCCAAAAAAGAAAAGAAAAATCCTCTTTTAGATGCTCCTCTATTTCAGGGATCTGTCTTTCCACCTCAAAACTCAAACTGTTTGATAGAATCGTGTATTGTTTATATTTTAACTCTTTGCTGGAATTTTGTTTATTGTTTACACCAAAATTAGTTTAAATTCTCATTAATCTAAATAAACAGGTTTTCTGTCTTCTATATTCCATGTAACTGCTGAGTTCATAGCTCTTAATACTATCTCTGCTTTTAAATGAAAGCATGAAATCTCTACTCAAGATTTCCATAAAACTGTACTTAAAGAGATTTTCTTCTTTGCAGGGAAGAGCAAATAGATATTATTTGATGTGGTTGCCAGCATTAGAGGGATCATTACACTTGACTTCTAAGCTGCATCATTTACATTCTTCTTATTGTTCATAGTCTTTGAAACCCAGAGCATGTTTCACACTTACAGTGTTCTCAATTTGGACAACCACTTCGTTTTCAATAGGTGCCTGTGAGGCTGTTTGCTGCTGCTTTGAATGCCACAGCTCTACACCACTGCCTTGTCAAATTATAATTATGCCATCCCATTTAATGCACAATTGTCCTAAAAAGTAGCATCATTGGTAATCCAGTTATATCTGTTACTTATAAAATAATTTTCCAATCATTAATAACGCTAACTGTTTTTAAATGATATATTTATATAGAGTGATAATTTGCTTGACATCCCAGCAGAGCAAGGCTTTTTGCTGTTATTATATTACCAAGCATTTCAATTGGTACATAAGTACTGATAATCACGTGCTACATGAGTGGATGCTTGAATATCTCAATGATTGAAGGTGCAGGAGGAGTGAAAAAAATCTTGAAGTAGAAATGGAGTAAAAATGAAGACAAACCCTATTATGCAAATATGAGCTCATTTCTGAGAATTCTAATGTTTTATCAAATTAGATATGTAACAAATATGCTTATCATTAACAAAAACAATTTTATGTGTTGATATTAATCTGTGGATTATTTGTGCTTGAATTTTCAACCCAAAGAAATCCATAGGATCTTGTTAAAACTCATTCACCAATATACACATGTGCAAATGTTACATTCTGATTCTGTTTGTTTTTATTTAAAGATAATTTCTCTACTAAATGCAAAGATTCTTTTGAAAGCACGACATTTAAAGTTTTTGACGTTACATTGGTGTCAATAAAGTGATTATTTCTTCACTCTAGTTTGGGGTCAGAAAAATATAAATTTTCTCAAAGGATAATTTTTAAAACTATATTTGTATTATCATATGTTTTACCCTAAGACTCACTTATCTAATGTACTCCAAAATCTATGTCAGACATCATATCCATGTCAAGGGTCCCCGATACTACCTTCCTGCTCAGTGATTGTTAGAAGGACTTGCAGGCTGTACTGATAGATTTTTTTATACTGGAGAGGTACAGATGAAAATCAGTAAAGAGAAAAGAATAAAGGGAACTGTCTGGCAGATTCCAGGTGTGAGCTTTTATCTGTCCCATCTGAGCTGGATTGCACAAATGCACTTAGCTTTCTCAGTACGAATATGCAGTGATATAAACTAACACAGTGGCAGTGCGGGGAGCTCTCTGGAGGCTTCATGCCCAGAAATGCATCTTCTCTTGGCATCTAAATAAGCCACTCCCCTTCTTCTATTTTCTCTACTGTTATGTAATGTTTTGGAAGGATTTGTGATGACTGGTGTCACGTATCACCAATATGACTGACATCAGCTACTCACACTCCTAATTCCTTGGGGAGAAACAAATGTTCAGTGTTGGTCATCAGTTGCTTAAGCCTTTGGTCAGACTATTGCAGTTTGGCCTCCGACATACAAAAATTCTCTCCTGAGGTAGAGCAGTACAAGGGCTCACAGTTCAGCAACCAAAACTGAAGGCCAGTCCTCAGAGCAGTCCGTTCTAAAAAGGTACAGCATCTGGGTAACATAGGTCTTCTGAACCAGCCGTTTCCTACACAGTATCCCAATACACTGACATCTACAAATTGCTACTTCTCCTGTATCTTTCATGAGTCAAGGACTCATTTTCAAAGCCTTTCTGAAGAACGTTCTCTAACAGTTCATGCCTCTGAAGAATGCCAACAAAAATAAATGGGGTCATAAGGTTGGCTTTAATTTTCTATTAATATCATTTCACTTGAGGTAAATATCTCAGCAGAATGGCATTTCTCTTAGGGTAGGGACTTGCAAAATGAAAATTGAATTATTAGCCAAATATTTTTATGGTGCATTTTTAATACTATCCATTCTAATAGAATAAAACCTAAAAGCAAAACAAATCCATAAAAGCATAAATAATAACTGTGTGTAGGCTGTATATGCACATATATACAAATCTGCTCATTTATATACTACATATATATATGTTTTCTTGTGTATATATATATATATATGCATATGAAATATACATGCATCCTACAGTTTAGATCTGAAATATCTTGTGGTCAAGACTTGGTCTCCAACCTTTGGTCACACTGGATAATGATGGAGCTGTGAGAGGTGGGGCATCTTTGGAGGAAGCAAGGTCACAGGGTATCGCCCTCAAAGCAGGCACCTTCTGTCCCTTCTCTTTGCTTTCTGAAGTACACAGGCTCCTCTCCCACACGCTGCTGCTGTGATATTCCGTGTCTCCATGGGACACAGCAGCAAGGCGAAGTAGCTATTGAAAGCATTTGATGAGTTAACCCTTTTCTGCTTTGATTATCTTAGGTATTTTGTCATAGTGACAGAAAGGTAGCATTATATACAGATTTTTGTTTGCATTAGAATATGCCTCCTCCATATATATACAATAATACTCTAAGTCAGAAGAAATTAGAAATAAACTGAAATATTGTAATAGGTCATTTTAATTAAATATTATTGCTGTTGAACTTTGAGGTACCTTGCAATAATCTCTTTACTTTTTTCTGAATAAATTAAGTCCTCTTTTTCCTGTTTTTGCCTCCAAACTTTTTAAAATTCCTTAGGAAACGTTTGTTAAAAACTCATGAAATATTAATGCTTCTCTAGATCCAGCTTTATTCATTCTCTTATCCAAGCTTTTAGAGGAAATTGTTGTACATAAAAATTGACTCTTTTTCTGAATACACTTTATTTATCTTTTAGTGCCTCCTACTCCTCATTGCCCTGGTGACTAATGTTCCCACCATCCCATACAATACTAAGAAATTAATTCACTTCATGTACTTATCTAAATTCATAGGTACTTGAAATTTAATTTGACTTCAGAAAAAGAAAAACTGCTTAAACAAAAAAAATTATAAATTGTTTTTAAATCTAAATAGAAGTTTTTGGGAAGGAGAAGACTCAAGTCTTAGAGGTAGTTACAAATTCTACCGAAAGTTTTTCATATTTCCTTGTGAAGTCAGTTGTCGGTTTTATAACTCTGTTTTTCTCTCTTCCCCTCCCGGCACCATAGTCCCTTTTGAAAGAACTAAATTATATGCCTCAAAAACCTGAAGAGAAGGAAGATTTAAAAAGAAAACCCTGTTGTGGATATATACTTGATTAACACATCAGAATATGACGAAAAGCAAGTAAAGATTTCTATAGTTGGCCTTAGTATGCTTTTCTAACCTGTATGGCTACATTTTTCCCTGTATTTCACTCCCCTTCATACTGAATACCAGCCTGTACTACCAAATTCTCAAACGCTTTATGCAGCTTTTCAGTCTTATATTTTCAATTCTTGTTTCCACTTGTTTCATTATTTCACTTACTTCTGTTCAATTCCCATTGTAGGTAGAAATGGACAGTTTTCTCACTTGCTCAGATACTTCCTCTTCTACTTTATTTAGTAAGCCCAAACACTTTGCCAGGAAACTCTCAAGTATCCTGGAAATCAATTACTCTCTTCTTGAAGGTTGCAAAGTACCAAGTAAAGATCTCTACTAGCTCTTACTACATTAAATATACATATGTTTCCCTGCACTACCAAGCACAATATTGATTTCACAGTAGATGGTCCGTACATCTGTGAATGGGGAAAATTTTTAAAGAAATGGAGTACAGGTAAGTCCTAAGGAACTATGATAAATTAAAAAAGAACAGAGTGAAGCAGGGTTTGAATAAGATGTCTTCAAAGGGTGACTTTTATATTGTTAAAATATTCATACCCTTTAAAGCAGTTTACAGATTCAGTCCAATTCCTATCAAAATACCAATGATATTCTTCACAAAACGCGAAAAAAATGTTTCCGCAATTTGTACAAAATAATAAAAAGTGAATAGTAAAAGAAAAATTTATAGAAATTATCTGAAATTGATGAAAATATACTACAAAGCTGTACTCATCAAAAAGTATGATATTGAGAACAGTATCTGTGGAACACAGCCCATTCACTAACTTACAGAGTTACAGATAGATGACACTTCACAAAGATGCTGAGAACCTGCACTGGCGAAAGGACAAACTTTGCAATAAGCTGTTCTAAATCTTTCCCTTTCTGCAATAGAACAATCTGTTGGCTTAAAAAATAGATTGACAAGTATCTTCTAATGTAGAAAATATTTAAGAAACTCTTAACACTTTCAATACTTTTAACAACTTTAGAATGGACACTATTTTTTAAATTCTCGTACAATATTCATTTGAGAGGTCACAGTCTTTCATGAAGCATATAATATACACATTTAAATACAATCAAAATTTTAAGTATTAAAAGTAGTGAATATTTTGTTTAGCTTGCTGTTTGCCTCTGTTTATGAGGAATGCTGGTCATTTTCTATTTCATACTCTGGTGAGGTTTTGATGGCACAGTTATTTTGAAACCATAAAATTGTGGTGGGAAATGTCCCTTGTATTTGGGAGTGTGATTAGAGTTATTATTTCTTAAATATTTGATGAGCTCACCTGTTTTTCTTTAGCAAAAATAGATCTAGTTAGGTTGTATACATTATGGTAAACTACTTTCTTTAAAGAATCAATCCACTTCATTTCAGATGTAAAGTTATTGGCACAAGGTTATTCACAATATTTCCTTAGCCTATTTTTTAAAAATTCCTGCTGTTTCTTTTCTCCTTTTCTCCTTTTGATATTCATAAGTTTGTGTTCTCTTTGATTACACTTGATCAGTTTTCTAAGTTTTGATTATCAATCACAATTTAGTCATTTGTTATAGAACACACTGATTTGCAGATTATCTTTTTAATATTAATAGTCATGCCAAAAATTACTTTTTTTCCTATTTTATATTTCTGTTTATATTGTAAATTTTAATTTTAACTAATTATAACTTGTTAATGTTTACTTTTTGTTGATATCCTAAAATTCTTCTTTTTCCTAATGTAGGATTTAAAACTATGAATTTCCCTTTTAGCATAGCTTTCGCTATCCCCACAAATTGAACATGCTGTATTGTTTTGTCATTGAACTTGAAATGTCTCCTTATTATCTTTGTGAGGTTCTTCTTTGACTTATGGGTAATTTTGAAATGGTACATTGCTTCAAAATATTCAGCAATTTGGCAAATGTTGCTCTGTGATTTTAATGTGGCTCAGTGGTATCACATTTGTGCAGTGTATGTGAGTCCTAGATCCAGTCTCCATTATTTTCCCCCCAAAAACCAGATAAATCAGTTTTGAGGAAAAAAAATAACCTGCAGCTAGGAGAGGGTGAGCTGTAAGGCACAATCTTTCTCACACTTCACTAATATGATTAAAAATAGAACAGCCACTTAAAAAGAAATTTGGTTTACATTTACTCCAAGACACAATCATTGTACTTCTAGGTATTTACTTAAAAATATAAATAAAAAATTATGAAACTCATACATTTTGCATAATTATTGTTAATATTCATAAGACATCATTCATTCTGGTCTTAAAAGAGTCCTAAAATGTCCATCAAATGGCCAATGGATAATTCACATTATGGTATATCTATATCATGGAGTTCTATTCAGCAACAGAATATTAATGCAACCAATGACATGCTGAGTCCTTGAAAGTCATATAAAATAAAAAAAGGGTCAAACAAAAAGAACCAATAAAATTCAGCCAAAATGCTCAATTGAATAGCCCTATAATACTAAGACAATGGATAGTCCAATAGACTTTAAAATTTTTCAAAAGAATTCAAGTTGCAAGATTTCAGTATTCTATCAAACATTTAAAAATGAGTTAATATTGAGAGAGTTGTCTGAGTCCAACATAACATACAAAACAATAGCCCATCAATCACACATCTATGTACTAGAAATGGACATGTGGAAAACCAAATTATATCATAGTACCATTTGCCATTATTCCAAATAAAAGTAGAACAAAACAAGACATTGTTTATGTGGAAGCCACTGTCTATAAGAATGAAAGAAAAGCTCCAGGCTGGGTAGTAATATTTGTAAACCACCTACCATGTAAGTGACTGATATCTTAATTATCTCAAGCATTCTCAAAACTCAAAAATAAAAATCAATAATCCAATTAGAAAATGGTGCAGGGAGAAATTTAAGCTCTACAAAAGAAGATGAACATGTAGCTAAAAGTTTCACTTACCAGAGTAACTGAAATAAAAGAAATGATGAAACCAAGTGATGGGAGTGATGCAGGAGATGTCAAATCACTCTTAAATTACTGTAGGGTACATGAAATATTAGTCTGTGAATAAAACTGGCAACTTTTGTAAAATAACCACAGAAATACCATGAGACCACAACTGGACTCCTAAGTATTTATCCTAGAGAAACAAAAAGTTAAGCTTACATAAAAAATCTATATGTCAAATTTCTAAGTTGTTTTATTTATAATATAAATAAACTGGATACCCATCCCTAGAATAATGGTTAGTCAAACGGTGGAATAGCCATACCAGGTCAGAAAAGGCAATAGACAGAAAAAAATCAATACAATCAATGATTTGGATGAATCTGTAGGAGATTTTGCTGAATAAGGTAATAGCGAAACATTAAAAATTGTATGTCCCACTTACATGGCATATTAAAATGAGAAAACATATGAATATTCTATATTGAACAAGTACTTGTTAAGAAATTGTAGGAAGAGGAAGAAGAGCGGGTATAGTTACCAAAATACAAAATGAGAGATCCTCATCATATTGTCATCTCATCTGTGCTTATAGAGCAAACGTGAGTGTATGTGCTATGATACTGACCTATAGCTTCTCCAAGTGCTCTCTTCAGAAGGCAGTGGGTGAAAGCTGCCTTGGAGCTGTCTGTGTTATTTCTTGCAAATGTTGCTGAATCTATAACCTTTTTCACAATTTAGAAATTGTTTAATAAAATAAATTTTGGTATTTATTATAGTCTAGGAGAAAATATCGAGAAACTTTCAATTTATGACACTTATAATATCTATTTTATATGATGTTTAATAATATCATACAAAACCTACACCAAACATCTATAATGAAAATGATAAAACAGGAGGAAAATTTACATCACTCTCCCACCCCCAAAATGAAAGCCTCTACCAGGCTTATGATTGGAAAGACTCGATATTAGAAATAAATGATTTTAATGTTTGTTTAATGTTTCAATCCAGTACAAAACATTATTTTTCAAAGAATTAGAGCACCAAATCCTGTCATGTAGTACTTTCAATCTCCATCAGTATCCAATAAAAGTGAAGCTAAGAAAAAGCAATATTAGGCAAGCCATATCATTTCTCAGGACTGATCCACAGAAATGTGTACATTTG